TTAGTAATACGTTAAAGAAGACATAAAATACCGAAGAATAAATAACATAATTATTACAGAATTGACAAAAGAAATATTGACCAGAAACATTGTCCGCCATCTTTGAATATACGTAACTACAGTTACGGATATCACATTTACCTCAGTGATGTTACACAGTTGATTCTTTTTAATTCACAAAATGAACTTTTTAGAGTTACTTGAAAGTAAAGATATCACTTGTTTTCTTTTCACTTAACGAATACTATGTAATTTGTAATTTTTAAAATTTTCTTGGACTTAAAAATTCCTATAAATAGTCCCACCCCCCACCAAACAGAATAACTATTGGGGGTCAGTGGAAAACTAACCGAAAAGCAAACGAAAAAGAGGACAAATTTTAAGCTGTGTATAAATAAATCAATGTGCTGGTTTTATTTACTATTAAATGATTTTTAAACTTTTAACCATTGATAACTTATATTTTATTTTGATAAATCTCAAATATCCTGTAGAAAAGTGCAAATGTCGGTTTTTAAAGAGCGCAATGTCAATTATAAAAGCGCAAATGCCCATTCAAGAAAACGCAGATGTCCTTTCAAAAAGTGCAAACGTCCCGCGCCGATTATTTTTCAGAAATGGAGCGTTTTTTTTTTATTGTTCATCTTCATCCACCCGGACGTTTTGTCCTTTGTATATTTTCATGGGCACTTTCTTAAAAAGTGTTCATCCATGAAAATAATTCTATAGGACGTAACGTGATATTGAATAAAGATGAAAACTTACTAAAACGGCTGATACTGGATTATTTTAGTACATGTGATCGTAATAATACACTGAAAACAAACTAAAGCGTTACACAATCAAGTTCATTTACTGTTGTTTCTATATTCCAGTGTCATATATTAGAGTTATATCGGCAGTGGCAAATATTACAGGTTTGTCGGCAGTGGCAAATATTACAGTTATATCGGCTGTGCAAATGACTGAGTTAATCTTGAATTGTTTAAATGACATTAATAAGTAGTTTGACTAAGTTTAACACATACTAAACGGAATCCAGGAATGTTTTTTCCGATGATGCGGGTTTTTTTTAATTTTTTTCTCCTATCTGATAATCGAGAAAAATGGAAAATACTTTCAATTTATAGACTCATCTAAAAACATGCATACAAGATTTGTCCGTTGTAATGAGCAAAGAGTAACAAAAAGTGTTGGGTTATGCATGACACACTGTTTTCTTGATTTTTAATTTCATCTTATAGAATAGTTTGAAATATAGAATCACAAACCCAAAATGACTTACAATCGAGCACACCCTTATTAATAAATGTGTATATATTTGTAGTGTATACTTTATATGCCTTCAACCCCTCAAGGTATAAAAGTGCATTTCGTCAGTTAATAAGTTAATTGATTAAATCTCCCTATACTAAAGTGCTACATACCTTTCGAGAAATGTACATTAGAATGTAAAATAAAGAAGGGAGTGGTTAAACGACACAACTTTACCCAAATAAGAACTGTTTTATACAAATGCAGATCAACTATTCAATAAATTGTCGGAATTGATCGTCGGAACCAGAGACAGTGAGCAAAATATCATTGGAATAACAGAAGTCAAGTCAAAAGAAAATAGATATAGACCATCAACCGCAGAAATACTTATTAAAGTCCAAACTTTAACCGTTAACATTTCTAAAAATGAATAAAAGACAGCCGTAATAGTGCAGTGCAACATCTGGAATACTGTTAACTATATTTTGAATTTTCTAAAAAAAAATAACATTCACATAAATACTGTCAAACTTGCAAACATGTAAATTAATTTATACATTAATATGTAACAACTTATTATTAGTTTTAATGATTGAGGTCAAATATTTGTTTGCCCACTTCATTAAGGTTTATGACCCCTTCTGTAGCCATGTGAACTACGGTATTTTCAAACTGCAAAAGTATCAAAACAGCAAAAATAATGAATAATCGAGATAGGCCATATACCCAGGGGCAACGTCTTGCAAAGCATCATTATTTATTGTTTCATTGCATTTAATAGTAAAAGGGGCAATTTTGTGGCAAATAAAACTAAGATTTTTGTAGAAAATCCACGGACTCTAAAAAAGAGATTTTTTGTTATAAAATTTAAAACATAGATTACTCACTTGTTTTTCTTTGGTGTGCTAGCATTTTTTTTAGCACAAATAGTCCTTAACAACCTTTAAATTCCAAAAAACCTCGTGCTGAGTCACTAAAGTCGAGCGCACCCTTGAAGGTGTACTTGAATTGGTCCATATTTATATTTTTTTTATAACCAATATCTTCATTTGTAAACTTGTTTTAAGGTAATCATTGCTAGCACTGCATGCAATAATCCTCTATCTAGCAAGCACCGAATTTCCAAATATGAGAATACCAGCGCAGGGGCGGATTTAGGCGGGGGCGTGGCGGGCGTGCGCCCCCCCCCTAAAATTTGCAAAGCATGGGTTGTCCTCAGCTTAATAGAAGAATATTTCGATAATTTTACCTCAAAAAAAATTCGACTCGCTCCGCTCGGCGAAAATTTCATTTTGCGCCTCCCCTAACCTAAAATCCTGGATCCGCCCCTGAGGGGAAAGGCTGTGGATTTTCTATAAAATTTCCATATATTAAGCATTGAATCAACACAAGGGTACATAATCCCGCTTTCCCGATATCATAAGTGATAATAATGAATTGTAGCTTATAGAAGCGAGGCAACTGTGACAAAAATATGCCAAATCCTGCATTGAGAAGGCAAAATCATCTATGTTTGTAGTAAAGGGCTGTCTTGCTTGCGTAATGTAAAATGAGGATTTCGGACTTTTTCTTATTACAAGATTTTATATATACAAACAAATATTAAAAGTTCAAATAAACTAAAATACAAACAACGAACAAAAACAGAAGGGAAAAAGTGTGTCGGAAATGACTAAGGAAAAAGTTTGTCGGAAATGAATTAAATTCTTCAAAGTCTAATATAGAATTTAGACATAGTTATCAAAAAGGGAATCTTAATAAATATAACAATTTACTTCCATACGACTGTACCTGGATAGTTGACTTGGTGTCGGATTTTCGAACATGTTGCCAATGCTTTCCACCTAAACAGGGCTGATAATAAACACTTTACATCAGGTAACACGTATTCTTTTTTTTTCTTTGTAAAATTGAGGGCCTTGGCTTTATAAAGTACGTACATTTAACACAAAAAAGAGACCAGCTGAGCACAGATTCATAGTTTATTACGGAAAACTTTCTCAGCCGCAGAAGATTGCGTAAATGTATGAGGGACATATTTTTACAAAATATATGACACCACATTATACAAAATGAAGGAAGTAATGTATACCAAATTCTCAGAAATCACGATCGGCGCGATGTATTTGTTTTGTCCTAATGTGGCGCAATGCAAATACCAATCAATCAATCAATTAGAAATCATATATGACATTAAATATTGGATTAACTTAAATTGGACTATTAGTATCGTGATACCTTTAAAATGAATATGTATTACCGTTAAATTGTTTTAAAATTACTTTTCAGATACAGTGCAACAAAAACACACATTATTTTATTAAAAGTAGTATGATGTTTTCCTATGGAGTTAAACAAACTGCTAATTTAATCAATAATTTCAAGCATAGATAATATCTATGGTCAGCTAAAATAAGTGAACACTTGACTGAGTGTAAATGAAAGTCATTCATAATTGATTGTAATTAAGGATGAAATGTGAGACACTAAAAGCTGTGACTGTTATTTATCCTGGATCGTCTCCAAATCATTTTGATCAGTATCCTGCGGCAACACCTATTCATATTTCTGTAAACACGTTGAGTTCGTCATATCATCATATCTAATTACATATTTATAAATTTCAACTTCTGACCGAATGCGATACTATTGAGACTATTTTATTGTCATCAATGTGGTTAGAGTTATGAATATTAAGGAAATATTTTTCATTTCTCTTTTTTGTGGTAAGTACAATCTAGTAAATACTTAATTGCATCTAATCATTAACTATCTATACGAAATAAAATAAGATTATATACTATTTTTCTCTTGAAATTCTGATGAGTTTCGATAATAAAAATGGATTTAGAATGTTCATTTCAAGAATACATTTTGTATTTCATTCTCACCCATATACTATATAATACAACCGATTAAGATTGGACATGTAAATGTCAGTGTTTCAAATTAACGTAAATAATAAACGTAGACATAAACCTCATATGAAATCATGACCTTAAGGAATGTATCGGGTTTTATTGGACTGGAATTTCTCACCACTTATATATTTATTTTTGTTAATTTCACTTATTCCATTGTAAAACATTTGATACATACTTGTATATATAACCCTTAGCAGCCAAGGGACGCATGCGTAAGGAACACGACTAGAACACCAATTCCAATTTTACTAGGGAAATAGGAGAATATTTTATATGCTGATATTTCGAGACAGTTTGAATTTGTAATTATTATTGTTTTGTAAACATTTTCTATTTCACCAATGTAATTTAAAAATTGAAGTAAATACAAATAGATATGAAAATACACAATTATTTAATTGTTTAATAGAATAAAATTTCGAATATGTTATATGTGCCGGTTTTATACGCCAGTTTACGGGACGTTTAATGATATACCGTTGTTTGTCCTTCCGTCCGTCCGTCGTCAACATATCGGACAATAAAAAAGTAGAAGACATGTATTTATATATGAATTCATATATTTGATAGAAGAAAACATATAAATATACTCTTCCAAGCAAAAGAAACACATTGAACTATTGCTTTGTATATAACACGTGTTCCCTAATTTTTATAATGTTATAATTAACAGTTTGAAAAGGCACAAAATATTAACTGTGATGATTTAAAATCGAAAAGATATTCTAAAGTCTAAGGTTCATTGTAAACTATGCGCTATGACGTTGTTACCTTTTTGCCATTGCAATTACATATCTTTTAACAGTGACACAAGTGGAACAGAAACTTCAGTATAATCCGCTCTGTAACGACGAACAAGCTAGTATAGTAGACTGTTATTATTATGAAGGAGTCAATATAGCCAACCCAGCATCATATATCATGGGTAGTTCTCACTTCTTTCCTGCGTGTGAACTTAGGTAAGTGAGATTCTAGCATCATATATTATGGGTAGTCCTCACTTCTTTCCTGTGTGTGAACTTAGGTAAGTGAGATTCCAGCATCATACATTATGGGTAGTCCTCCCTTCTTTCCTGCGTGTGAACTTAGGTCAGTGAGATTCCAGCATCATATATCATGGGTAGTCCTCACTTCTTTCCTGTGTGTGAACTTAGGTAAGTGAGATTCCAACATCATATCTCATGGGTAGTCCTCACTTCTTTCCTGTGTGTGAACTTAGGTAAGTGAGATTCCAGCATCATAGATCATGGGTAGTCCTCACTTCTTTCCTGTGTGTGAACTTAGGTAAGTGAGATTCCAACATCATATCTCATGGGTAGTCTTCACTTCTTTCCTGTGTGTGAACTTAGGTAAGTGAGATTCCAGGATCATATATCATGGGTAGTCCTCACTTCTTTCCTTTGTGTGAACTTAGGTAAGTGAAATTCCGGCATCATATATTATGGGTAGTCCTCACTTCTTTCCTGTGTGTGAACTTAGGTAAGTGATACTCCAGCATCATATATCATGGGTAGTCCTCACTTCTTTCCTGCGTTTGAACTTGGGTAAGTGAGATTCCAGCATCAAATATTATGGGTAGTCCTCACTTCTTTCCTGTATGTGAACTTATGTAAGTGAGATATATGGGTGGAGAAATTGCTGCATAAACATCATTGTTCATGTTTCTTTTTTCCTGGGATCTGTTAGGTACCTTTCCGGGGGACCCGAGATCACCCCGGTTTTGGTGGGCTTCGTGTTACTCAGTCTTTATTTTTCTATGTTTTTGTATGTGCTGTTGTTTGTGTTTTTGCCTCTCTTTTGTTAGCCAAAAGATATTTTTGTTTGTGAACTCCGGTAAATATAGCATAATAGATGGAAGTAATATAAGTAAGCGAAACATCATCAATTAACATTAGCTTTCCCTTATTATATCATTCTTCGCAGGTAAAAAAGGCAATGAGAATACCAAGGGCCAATAAATAACAACTCATACAAACGTGAAATATAATATATCATCCTTTTCTTTATCTACAATACCGCAGTACTACACACAAGATAACAATGGTAATACACAAAAATACAATGCAGAATAATTTCAAATTCTCTAGATTATTATTTGGAACTTTAATCCATATTATTTCATTGGTATAGGCGGTAAATCTACAGCTAGTGACATTATTAACTTTACACAAAACGCAGTAGCAACTCGTGGTTATAAAAGTACTTCACTTGCTTTCTAACGGCCTAAGACTTGATTATTACATTGACAGTAAATGGAAACTGATACTAGTATAACATTTAGATGAAATAATTATATAATGAAAATCAATGGTATTAATTTCCATCCATATTTAAATGATGACATGTACGCGCTAAAAAAGTTCATTAGTTTTCAACATCAGGTGGCAAATACAAACATCACAGATACATTAGTACTATAAAATGTAGATTTTGTGTTTTAATAAAGTTTAGAATTTTGTTTTTGAATGGTCCATGATGAGATGTGCAGGTAACTTGTTTGGTAGTTATATGATGATGATTGATTGTTGGTTGCTTAACGTCCAGTGGCAAATAGTATATGCATGTTCAGGACGAGAACAAATTAACAATAAATACAATAGGTAGGTTCGGTGATAGAGGTCAACTGGGTTGCAGGTCGGGCTAATATGATGAAAAGTTAACAACTCATATAATAAATGTTATGTACAATCAGGTGCTTATGCTGAGCTGATATTTATTTGAATGAAATACTATTAGAGGATAAATAGTGTACAGTGTGCATTTGAAATAAATAAATAAATTAATTAAAGAATTACAAAATAAAAATAAATAAATAAATAAATAAATTTTTTTTTTTGGGCTTATTTTTCAGCAACATCACCAGACTACTAGATTGTTACAATAAAGTTATTGACGAATGTCCGAACTATAGAGACAATGGACCAGACATAATGACTAAAGATGCATTCAAAGCCTTCCTCATAGGAACATGTGTAAATAAACATGGTTTGTACAAATTTCTTGTAAAACATCGTTTATATGGCGGGTGATGCATACAAGCAGGAGACGCTTACACACCCATGGCAGTCTAGCTTCTTTTGAAGTTGATGCGATTCATTTGGTTTTTGTTTGTTACCTTGATTTGTCTCTTTTTAATCGATTTACGAGATTTTAACGAGATTTTAACATCGTAAACTACTCTTGTCTTTATTAGCATTATGCAATTGTTTAAGAAGAGATAACAGTAGTCAACGTTTATTCCTTTCAAAAAAAGCCGGCAGAAAACATCATGCCTCGGCTCGGCAGGTTAAAAAAAATTGAAAACAACACGTTTAATAATTTCATGCGTCCGAAGCGCTTTTCTGGATTTACCTTCATCAGGAACGCTCAAAGCCAAACATTTGAAATCCGAGGGATGTATAAGTACCGAAACAGTTGAAGAGCTATATGACAAAAATACCTAAAACAAATAGCCAAATCCATCTATTAAGGTCAACTTAAGTGTTCCCTCCATATAGAAACAGGATATATCACATGATAGAGGGTCTTGATAGAGGTTCCTTCATTTCTGTATTCTATAATTTTTCATGTCATTTTTCTATATTCTTTATACATTTTGCCCATTATTCTCTATCTTTTTTTATATTTAAGCACCTTGTTCCTATCTATTCTTTATGGTTTGGTCCTTTTTTCTTAATTTTTTGTATTTTTTGCTCTTTATTTTTGCTCTTTATACTCTATTTTGTAAACCTGATCTAAATCCTCATGAAACAAGTCTATATTATTAGTAATTATTGGTTGTATTTTTTACACGATCGGTTTACTATTTTGCTATGTTTTTTTTCTAAGTTTTATTTACAAATTTTTATATACATCTGCGTCCCGAACAATAATTACCATTATTAAAGCCACCACATACTAGATGAATGAATACCCCTATATTTCCTGTTATTTTTTAAAAAGAAAGTATGATTGATTTTCTTGCAATATAAAGAATGAAAATTGAGCAATATTGATTTTAAGCTGTGTATATCTGTTTCTTCCCTATTTTGATTTTTTAATATATAGTCTGTGCCCATAAGGGAAATATTCACCCGACACCAGAGGACGAGGATATAAACAACTACATGTATAGGGCATTGCATGACCTTCAATAATGGACATTACCTATATCGTGCAGTACACTTTAAAATTCACTGGTTAGGGTGTCAAATCAAAATAGAAAACCAACATCCTAATTTATGCTAAAATATAAATAAAGAAGACACCAATCGATGCTCCTCACTTGTAAAAGTCGCATTAAAATATGGCGGGTAAAACATGTTTCATGTATAATTATCAAGTTTATTAGAATTATGTACGTACCTTTATGACAAACATAACAATATAGTCTGATTCAAATACTTTAATGGATCTTTTACAGTTTTCGCTGAACACGATTAATTATAACTTGAATACATTCTGACGATATGCCAAGTGACCTAGTTGTGTCTCCCGCGTGACGCGTTGTGGACGACATAGAAATACCGGGCGTCCATCCGTCCATCCATCCATTCGGTCTTGTTAGCCATTCTTGCCATATTTTTATAAAACTTATACGTTTATATCAGCAATGTCTCCGACGACTTTGAAAATTAGTGCCGATCAACTATTTTTAAAAGAGTAATGTCATATGGAAACATTAATTATATGGAAATTTGCATTGTAAACGCTCTTAACACGTACAATTTTTGCCAGATTTTTATCACATTCATATATAAGGTTTATAATTTGGGTAAAATAATTTTTGCCCCTTGGAAATATTAAATATATCTGAAATTGTCTCAAAAGTTTAAAATTTTAGTTATTACCCTTGGAAAGAAAAAATATGGGCAACGCAAGGGGGTATTGGAACTCTGTTCTTTTAATTAATTTAAGAAAGAAACCATCCTGAAATAAACATGCTCTGTAATTGTAGACAAACATTCAATATAACTATGAATAATTTTACACAGCGATCATGTGTTTAATCATATCACGATCTTACATGGGCGTTCTTAGTCCGATTACATGTATCAGGGGATAATCCTAAAATGCGTTAATCTTACTCATCTTGCATCGTGTTTAATTTATCAAACGTAGATAGCAAGAATATTGAAGCCTTGAACAGTCGAACTGTTTTATTTAGATACAATAGCCTTTGGATTTTTGTGTTGTTAGGTTGTTGTCTATTTGGCGTTTTCCTGTCGTCCCGTTTTACCTATATTGGTGGTCTTGATCTCGAACCCAGAAAAATTTAAAAAAATCAAGTTACTGTTTGCTTCTTTTGCGCTAAGTTCGAGGATAACTTGTAACATAATTGACTTATGGTTACTGGAACGGAATCAGAATAATGTGTCCGGATTAATATCTATTAATATTAACAAATACAATATTATATTTGATTTGAAATTAAGACAATGTTTACTGCTGAATTTATTGGTAATTGATTTAAAATCGTATCGAGATAAATTAATTGAGATGAGAGTTACATGTCAATAATTGATTGATTGTTGCTAGCCTAACGTCGAGTGGTATGTATTATATGCAGATTCAGTACGAGAAACTTTAATGATTAAGGCATTAGAACAATAGGTGAGGGTCAGGATGCGGGGTTCTCCATTTCTTTATTATTCATTGTTTATGCCATTTGTCTCCATTTTTTATAAATTGTACCTGTTATTTCCGATTCTTTATATTTTAGAACCCCATTATCATGATTATTCTTTATTTTTTTTTAATTTTAACTATTTTTCTCTATTCTGTATATGTTTTCCCCATTATCTTCACTTTTTGCCCATAATCCTTTATTCTGTAAACCCCATCCAGACCCTCATAGGTAGATTCTGTAAAGAACGTTAACATGGACTATGGGCGGGAGATTTTGTTACCCACCGAGTAGAAAGTAGGACAGAAAGTTGCCTTACATCAGGATACAAACAGACCCCTAAATGACTAATTGTAAGAGTTCTTTGACGTTCAAAGAGATGCGATCTTCAATGTACACACGGTATCGTATTAAATGTTCTCAATCCGATTGGACGTGACAGCGTATTTATACATGAACATCCAGCACAACGAAACAGAGCCATTACTTTTGTAAGGGTTTTACTACCTGACGGAAAAAGTCCATGGAAAACCATATTACTATACCCTCGTGAACCCTAGTGTTCAGGAACCAAATAAAATCAAACAAAAATTAAAAAAAAAATAAAAAGAAGAAATCTAGAGTTCATAGGATTGATTGTTACCTGTACATTGTACTTCAAACTTTTATCTTTCTATTTTTCAAAAACGGGTTTAAATTAATTGAAAAAAGTATATTTCATTAAGATCCTAAATTGTGGTCTCGATTTCTGAATGTATAGAGAGACATAGCACCAATATTTAGGAACATTGTCCAAGAATATATTACCTAACATTTCAGTAACAACGACATTACCTCGTCTAATTGCTGCAACGCTAAAGCCAGCATTAAGGACGTAATGTCCGTTTTACTCCAATTCACATACCTCTTACGTCTGATTGCTTGCAAAAATCGTTTTACTGAGTACCGACTCGAGTGATGGGGGTCATAGCCGGGTCAAATCAAAGCACCTACCATTAAGGAGAAGGAACAAAGACTGGTTAGCTAGGATTCAGAATAATGTGTCCGGGTAGGCGGAACATGTCTTTTTGCAGACTGTTACATTGTGCGAAAGCTCATTTATAAAGGACTCGGTGTGTCGGTCTTGTATGATTAATGGAGTGATTGGTGTTTCATTTAAGACGCATCATCGCAAAAAGGCTACATGGAAGCGAGAATTTTTATCAAATATTTAAACAAAGGCACTTTTATACATCTGACAAAAGGTCTGTCAAAATAATACAATTTAAGTTTATTTCTAGCAAAATAACTTATTTGTAATATTCACCATATATAATATTTCTGGCAAAATAACTTATTTGTAATATTCACCATATATAATAGCATGATAACACTTAAAAAAAACTTTTCAACTAATACACCGTGTTAATATTTTGGAATATAGTAACATTTTTGTTAAGCCGAAAATAAAACAAGTAATACATACACAAAAAAACATATATGATTAAAACAGATAAAACAATTAGGTGATGTTACATCTTACAAAGTCTATCCAAATTATTTTTGCAAAGAATTCCGCTCAAGCCGGTGCTAAGTGCCATCTTAAAATTGCAGTGAGGTGAGGGTTTTTTTGCTCCGTGTTGAAGGCCTCACTGTGACTTTGTGATGAAGAACAGCAATTTAAGCGTTGTTCCTTTGATTTTTGTATGTTTTTTTTATGCTGTGCATGAACTGATTTTGTGTCATGGATGGATACCCCATATCCTTTGTTTTTCTATCAAATTAAGGTATTTTTTTCAGTGTATGACAGAGGTATGGAATGCATTGGGAACAGGGAATACTTGATAAATCAGTACAATAACAAGTTTTGCGTTGCTCCTTCGGTATACCTAAATGATGTATGGGATGCTTATATACAAATGGGAGACTGGACGTGGGAGAAATACTGCAGGTATATTTGCAATTTAAGTTAACATGTTGACTAAACGTTGGGGAAATACTGCAGGTATGTTTTCAATTCAACGTGTTGACTGGACGTGTGGGAAATACTGCCGGTACTGTACTTTTGTAATATCACGCGTTGGATGGACACGTGAGAAGTACTGCAGGTAAGTGTGAAATACAACTGGACGTCGGAGAAATACTACAGTTATGTTTGTGATAACACGTGTTGACTGGACGTGGAATAAATACTACAGGTACGTATGTAATACCTATTGTTGTCTGGACGTGGTAGAAATACTACAGGTACGTTTGTAATACAACATGTTGACTGGACGTGGGAGAAATACTGCAGCTACGTTTGAAATACCACGTGTGGACTGAACGTTGAAGAACTACTACAGGTACGTATGTAATACTACATGTTGACTGGACGTGGCAGAAATACTGCAGGTACGTTTGGCCGGAATACAACTGTTGACTGGACGTCGGAGATAGACTGCAGGTACGTTTGTACGTTTAGTGAGAGCGAAGCTCGAATCCCCATATGGAATTTACAGACCCCATATATATCGTATTAGATCACTAGCACAATGTGTAACGATTTTATCTTACCGACTATCTTAACATGTGGTATTTAGAGTAGTGGCCTATCAAAGTGATTAAGTCTTCAATACTCAGCATTAAGAACCTACTCCCATTTGTCTATACACAAACAAATGCCAACAATAACAACTTTTTAGCTTTAAATGTGTTTCATGAATTTATTTCAATCGTTCATCATCAATTTCTTTCGTCTGTTGAAACCTTTAAGATTTTTCCTCCACACCGTGTTGTTTTTATAAAGGGACGTAACACCACTACTAAGCGTGTATTGAAATAATACCCGCCTTCTAAGCTAATATGAATATACACGGTCTCCACGCGGTAGCTTTTAACCAATCATATTCCTAAAAATGTATAGGAGGTAAGATAATAGAAAATTCAAAAATAACTTTATGTACAAATTGTATATCCACTACTAAATATTTGTTACTATAGAATTAAGTCAATCTCTAGTAAATTTTTGTCGGCTCACCTTGGTCAGAGCACTAAACAAACATTCCCAAATAACAATGTTTATCAATATCCCACAACAATAAGTAATTTATAACAGTACCATAACAAAGATTCCAAAAACATCTGTTTTATATTGTAATATGTCTCTGTTTCAATTATTATTCTTATACTACAGAATGATGGACGAAGGAATAGAATGTTCTATAGCAAACGCTGAGCAGTTCGGATGTCCTCAGAGTTTCTACAATTTCCTTCGATACTCTTCTTATATCCGATTACCGACAGAATGTCAGCAACCAAATACTACAAATTATCAATGGCTTCAACTATATACCGAACTACCAACCACACTGGAATTAACAGCTGATACAGAACCAAATTCTTCAACTGCGATTAATGTTTCATTTTTCGTAGTAGTTGTCGGTGCACTTATAAGTGTGAGCTTGTATTAACTGAAAATAAATATTGTCATGATTTATTAATGAATTTAAATAAAAGTACAAGTACTAAATTTATTTTCCTCATTCAAGCACTAACATATCCTTATATAGCATCTCATATCTGAAGCTAACTTATTCAAACAATAACATGAAACTGTTGACAAACCTGTTATTATAATCGGCTTTTCTTGTTAAAAAAACAAGAGAGTTGTTTTTTCATGCATTTGTTTGATGTGTTTGAGCTTATATTTTGCAATTTGATAAGGGTTTTCGTTTTTAATTTTCCTTGGAGTTCGGTATTTTTGTTATTTTACCTTTTAGTAGCTCGATGATGTCAAATTTCGGTATTTTAGTTATTCTACCTTTTAGTAGCTCGGTGGGGTCAAAAAGCAATGGTATGAACAGATTTCGATTCTAGTTTGATCATTTAAAGCAAGCTTTTACATGCGAATAGCTCCTCTTAAAAAAAGTTGGCCTTGTTGGACTTAGCAACCAGGGGAAAACATAAGTACATAACAAAGCAATTATATATAAACAAAATTATGGTTTTTCAAATAATTGACCATATCATCAAGAGGAGGTCGAAAATACCTTCTTTAAATGTTGTTTGTCTTATTTTAATATACTGCGTAAACAAAGAACATAGTTCAGCATCCCAAAGATTTTTGAAAGGACAAACGATACATTTAGGGTCACGCAATTACGGACCAAATAATCACAAAAATACAAATGAAGCCCCTTAGGACATTACATTATTTTTAAGAAGACACAACAAATAACCACAGAAATGATGGATGATTTATAGAATAGATTATCACAAAATCACAAGCCCAGTTTTTACACTAAAACATGTCCATCATTTTAGTATTGATCTTTTGAGTTCATAATGCCCAATAAGATTGACCTTTTGAGTTCATAATGCCCAATAAGATTGTCACTTCACTTGGTAAATGTAAAGTTTTGTAGAGGAGGTTCGACTTCCTGTAGACGATTACCTAACATGTCCCAAGCATGATCTATCGGATTCAAATCAGGGCTCATGGCTGGCCATGGAAGATAAGTCAAGGCTTCAGCTTGAAGGTAGGCGGTTACGATGCCGTATGGCGTTGCCATCCATAAACACCATGTCTTGCAGCTAGTTGGTGGTTGTCAAAATGGGGGACAACAACTGCCTGAAGAACAACTCTAATGTATTAATCATCTGTTTGGTTTTCTTTTATGTTCACAAATTCCAACTTGCGATCATGGAAGATGCATCTCTATATCATTACAGAGCGGCCACCGTAGGGGACAGTTGGTTAGATATTCCTTGGTGTGTGTGCTAAACTTTCTGTCTCCAAACTTTTGTAAGTCCATCTGTTATATGCAGCAGAAACTGGCTTTCGTCTGACCAATGGATCCTGCGGTAGGTCCTCAAGTTCCAAGCGTTAACCATCATGCAAAACGCTATCGTTGATGTCAATCAGATAACATTGGACGTCTTGTTGATTTCAACCGGTTCCTTGCTGTCAATATATCAGGGTGTGCTTAACTTTTTCTTTGTGTATAGATTCAATTCCTTGTAAACATGATTTCGTTATGCAAATGTGTTTATCAAACTTGATTATATCTCTTTCAAATATTTAAAATTGAATACTAAATAATAATCTAAAAGTTATTACGTAACAAATACTCAATACAAATACATTTATATAAATAATCAATTGACGTCAGACTTACAATATCGCTACATGTACTGAAAGTGTATTATCGAACAACCAGGCATAATTTTACAGCTTAGACAACTTTTTGTTTTACAGAAGTATTCTCTGTAGAATCTTACTGACTGAAAAAATATGTATTAACAAAAAATATCGAATTCCAAAGAAATGTCACTAGTTCATTTAATTGAAAAAAATCACTTTTTAATGTGCTATATGTAGCACTTAAATCTAGCAAATCAATTAAACTAAGCGATACGATACAAGGATAAGCGAAGCTGGCAAAGAAGTTAATCTATACTGACATGACTGGCTGGCCCTAAAACACCACACTACCTAAATTGTCATTTCAAGAAAATATAAGTCAACAGAATTAGAGTGAACAACGCGAACCAAACAAAACCTGGAATGATTTCAGGTGCTTCAAATGTTGCACCCATCATGTTCCTTGTGGTAAGAAAATAAGTCTAATTCGATGATAGGACAATCGATGTAAGAAGGACGATATTGTGGTTACGACTATTGGAACATATACAATGATATATGTATATGGAACGCCACAGCTGTCTTATGTGGAACTCTGATATTACGTTATGTTGTTCTATTATTACTTGATAGTTTGTCTTTACATAATATGGTTTTGACATTACGTAATGATGTTTTGATATAACTCAATATGGAATAGTCATTACATAATGATATTTCGATATTACATGATATAGTTTCGTATTGACTTGATATAGTTTTGTCATTACTTAATATGGTTCTGTCATTACTCGATGTGGTTTCACCATTATTTGATGTCGTTATGTCATTAGGTAAATTAATTAAAAAGTACTAAAACATTTACTAAGCTAAGCTAAGCAACAAAGTATCAATTCTATAAAATAAGAATTCTCCAGGTGTTTTTTAGCGTGTATGTTCATTTGAACATATGAATAATAAACTTTTTTTTATTGATTGCAGTTTCTGATATACCACGCACTAATTGAAAAAAAAAACTTTTTGAAATATCTGTTTCATAGGTGACGACGAATAGGTTCCAGTTGTCGTAACCACAACCCCGTCATCATTTCCTCGAATGTAAACTACCAAATAAACCAAATCACTGGGTTTGTACTTTCGCGAATAACACGACGGGTGCCACAAGTTAAGCAGAATCCGCTTACCCTTCCAAAGCACCCGAGATCACGCTGATGGATTTATGTTACCCAGTCATACTGATCTATTTAGTTGAGCCAATCAAAACTGTTTTTACATTTTCTTCTTATGCTGCAATGATACACCAGGTTAGGATAGGGATTAGCGCTTACATACATGTTAAACTCCGCCGCGTGCACTTTCTTTAAATGCCTGCCCCAAGTCAGGAACCTGTAGTTCAATGGTTGTTGTTTCATGTGTGTCATATTTGTTTTTATACGCCCGTCAAAATTTTAACGGGACGTATTATGGTATACAAATGTCGTCTGTCCGTCTGTCTGTCCGGCGTAAACATGTCGCACCGTAACTTGAGAACGACTTATCCAAATTTCATGAAACTTTACACAGTTGTTTCTAATGATGGTCAAACGATCTGTATACTTTTTGGTGAAAATAAGATTAAAATTTTTTGAGTTACGGGACTTAGTAACTAAAACAGGTGTGTGTTTTTTTTTTCACATGTAGCGCGGTATCTCAAAAACAATTTATGATTATTGGTTAAAACTTTACACACTTCTTAGTTATATTAATCTTAAGATCTGTATACTTTTTGGTGATGATTCAAAATTTTATTTTTGAGTTATTGAGTATTTTGTAAAAAAAAGGGGGGAGGGGTTTTTCACATGTCGCGCAGTATCTCAAAAACGATTGATGATTATTGCTTAAAATCTAATACACTTCTTAGTTATAGTAATCTAAAGATCTGTTTACTTTTTGGTTTTGATTCAAAATTTTATTTTAGAGATATTGATTTTTTTTTTATTTAAAGGGGGGTTTTCACATGTCGCGCCGTATCTCAAAAACGATTTATGATTATTGCTTAAAATTTTACACACTTCTTAGTTATATCAATCTTAAATCTGTATACTTTTTGGTTTTGATTCAAAATTTTATTTTAGAGATATTGAGTTTTTTTTAAAAAAAAAGGGGGGGGGGGGGGGCGGGTTTCGCATGTCGCGCCGTATGTCAGAAACTATTAATGATTATAGCATAGAACCTCACACACAAGACGACGTATGTATCATGCGCTCATGGGGCAGCTGTTTATTCGTAGATTGTTTAGCTATAAACTAGACCATTAGTTTTCTCGTTTGAATTGTTTCACATTTTCACGTAGTGGTCTTTTGTAGCCGACTATATGGTGTGTTGAAGGCTGTACGGTTGCCTATGATTGCTTGCATCCACTGCATTTAAACTATGGTGGATAATTTTCTCATTGGCAATCACACAACATCCAACTTTATTTCAATTTCTATGATGTGTTTTGTATGCTGTAAAATTGTTTATCTTTTGTACGCATACCTACCCCTGAAACCTCCTTTCGGAAGCTCGAGCAAAAGCCATTGATCCTAGATAAAAAAAAATAGAACTCATATTAGATAACTCGAATTTCAACTCTTAATCTTAATCTAAATGAGACTCAAATAAGGGTTTACCTCGAACTCTACGCCAAAAGGTGACTCAAATTTAAATTTAAGTTGAAGTCCAATTGTAATTCGGAACTCTATCTTTAAATGTGACTCAGACTCCTAGTTAAGTTCAACTCGACACTTGGTAAGTGGTTGAGAGTTGTCTCATTGGTAATCATACCACATTTCTTTATTTCTATATAAGGTTTTTTTAATGCATTTATTAAGTTAAGATTTATGCTTGAATAAATACCAAAGAGATATAAATGAATTATTATTTTAATTGGCAAAATAAAGGCCACGGCTCACAAATTTATCAAACATTATCATCAATAAAGATGAAACATTAGCATGATCATGAATCACAAATGATCAAAATTAACACATTAGCGTGGATCACTGTTGATCAGATATAATATTAGAATGGATCACGATTGATCAATCAAAACCTTAGCATGGATCACGATTGATCAATTATAACATTAGCATGGATCAAGAATGATCAATTAGAACCATCTGTACAAAAAGAGCACTTTATCATTACTGTCCATTTATGAATACTGACATTGACTTTAAAAATACTGGCCCTGGGAACAGAAGCTCAGTAACGGATATTATAGTCCATTATGTGAACATGGTGCAAGATTGTTGGCGTTGTGTCGCTTTCCCGCCAAATGGTCACATGTTACCATGCGACCACCGCCATGAAATAAAAAGAAAACGACGCAACAAGTCGTGGCCTTATTGACTTTTGGTTACTAT